TTGTGCCAAATCCAGGTTGATCCTTGAAGCAGAGTTGACTAGTTAGCTGAGTGGTGCATCCACCTGCTAATAAGTTGTTTACTTCTGTATGGGAGTTTATTCCCTGTTCTCTTTGGGAATGAATCATTTTCACTTCTGTGCCACTGGCCTCAGCTCAACAACTCCACTAATGACCAGAAGCTGATCAGTGCGAGAGTGAATCTTTACCAGCCGGATTGTCAGATGAGCCTCAGTTGAATTGTTACCCCCTGCCCCCTGCCCCCGGCCCATCAAGGCAGCCATCTGTTTCTTGGGTAATTACAAAGCTTCTGTCTCCATCCAGTATTCCATTTGAAGTGTTTTGTTGAGCATGCATAACTTTCCCCCAAACTTTCTTCTATTTCATCCCCTCCTTCTGGAATAAATGTGGAGTGCATCCACAGACAATATGGAGTGGATGACATGGATGGACTCCTTCTTTCACTGACACCTGCACGTGCAGATCACACTGATTCTCCAGCAGTTGCAGCTGCTTCCTTGCTGGTTTCCCAGTGACCACCTACCCCAATCTTGACATGTTACTTTCTCAAATGGCCCATCAAAGTGAATAGCTTCTATTTTGAAGTGTACCAGAGAGATGCAATTGTGCAGGCTCTGAGGTGCCTTTTTGTTTCTCCTTCTCTGGAACAAGTAGACACTGGTCTCTACCCCTCTGCAGCTGGGTCTGAGGCAGATATAGAAAAAAGTGGTGATAAGATTGAGTGTCAACAGATACTTGCACAGCCTAAAGTAGAGGTGATAGTTTATTTGTTGACCATTCATTGCAGGGGGAGCATTGCATCCCCAAGCCTGGGGAGGTTTGTTTTATAACTTGCCACTCTTGCCAGAACAAAGGCCAATATGCCTGTGAAGCAACCTCACCATCCAGATATGCCCTCTTATGATGTCCCCAGTGTTCATCTCCCCTCTGGCTGCAAGGTGAAGAAAGGTGCTGTTAAACTTGGCCCCATCTCTCCCTCATGAATGAAAATGGGAGTGATAAGCTGCAGTCTGCACTCAGTCTCCAGTCCAACACAATTCTGACCTTTGAGACATCTAGGTTTCTGAATGTACTCCTTCTCCCTGATTGAGGAGAATTGTCCTCGGGATGTTGCCCTTTTGTATTCTGATAGCAGCTGACCAGCCAGCATCAAGGTTGATCTTGGGATTAACCTCTGCAGATCTAAGCAAGTCACCAAAATATATCACCTAGTTCTCATCACTTCCTGTTGCTCACCACCTCGGCTTGGCAAAGAACAGGATTTATGTACATTAATTTGTCACCTCTGATCTTTTAAAAGTTGGGGAGTGGGGCAGAGGGTGGAGTGATTTGTCCTGGCATCCTCCCTGCCTATTGCCTTCCATTCAGTTCCTCTTTGGGGAAAAATGGCTGCCTCTTGCCCTTCAAGTTATCCCTCTGGCTGTATCCCATGTCCTCCTAGTTGGGCAGTGAACCTTGCTGTAGACCAATTAACTAACTAGTCTATTAGAATTGCAGTATGTACACATTGCTGAAAATGGTGTGATGTTGTGGACTCAGAAGTGAGCGCATCTGGTTCCTGATGTGAGAATTGTAATTGTACCAATGTTTGTCTGAAACAAGATGGTTGGGAAGTCGTCTGATAACTTTCAAATCAGAGGGATTTAGGGGTTGTGGGGGCGTGGGGTGCGGGGAAAGGGTGCATTGATACGTGGTGATGCAGTGCTGATGTCATTGGACTAAGCCAAAGGCGCATGCTAGTGCTGTGGGGTCACTGGTTCAAATCCCATGGTAGCTGGTAGAATTTATATTCAGCTAACACCAAGAATTAGAAGTTAGTCATAATAGATGTGATCAGGAAACATTGCTTAGTTTTTTTAAAAAAAATGACAAACTTGTAATGACATTTTCGGAAATTTGACCTTGCCTATCTTGACAATGTGCTTGACTACCCTCCTGAAATGACCCAGCAGGACACTCCCCTTTTTTAATCAAACTGCTACAAAGTCTAAAATGAATTGAACCAGTGTTGACTGGCACTGGAAATGACCACAAACTCAATCTGTCAGCACTGCAAAATCCTCCTCAAAACAAGTGGGGATGTGCAGTTTCCCAGTACTAGTCAAGTAACAACCTGACATTTATCTGTATTAAGTGTGACCTATATCCCAGACAAAAGCACCACCACTCCTAGGTATGCCTTATCCCAGTGGCAGAGCAGTGGTATATAGGCAGAAGGGTGTTGCCCTGGGAGTCCCCAATATCCAAATCCAATGATGTCTTGTGCATGAAGGAAACCCTTCTGATCAACTACGGACCCCAAACCCCCTCAACTGATGAATCAATAGCTCTATACTGACTGGTAATTCTGGAACTGTCTTCCTAACAGCATTTTGGTTGCACCTACGCTACATGGACAAACAGTAGTTTGAGAACAGCTTACCACAAATCTCAAGAACAATTGGGAGTGGTTAATGTTTTGGCCTAGCAAGTGAGGCTCCAATCCCATGAAATAGTTGGGGACAAGATGTTGAAGTCTAGTGATACCCAATGTAGTATTTGCATAGCTTTAATTATTTCACAAACATGTTTGTAAAATCTTATTTGCTGTCTCTTCTGTTAGAAGTTAAACAAGTAGACCTGAAAGCAATGAATATCAGATTCTGGTCACAGGAATACTATTTTTACACTCCTGGCTGATGACATCCTAATAAATCATGAGGCAATCCTCATAAGATGCTTGGGCTAATTGTGGGACAGATTTCCACTGAACCCTGAAATGTGGCGTGTAAAGAAATACTCCTCTATATTGCTGTTTCTAGCTGTGACCCATTGTTACTCTGGTACATCTGAAAGTATTGTCCTGGTTTTGTTTACCCTTTCTCACTTGCAATCTGAGGGGAAACTGAGTACTAACATATCTACCTGGCTCTCCCAATACTCCATTGGCACTTCTATCTATTAGCTGTTGCTGATTTAAGAACTTTTATTCTGAACTTACTGTAAGATTGAAATTAGAACAACTCCAGCTCAACTTCCTCTTTGTCTAAAACCTGCTTTTTAATGTACTATAAAGATGCAATCTTGGAACCAGCTCATGCTTGTCCAAAAGAAATGTATTCTCAATTTTTTTATAAAGCCCCCACAAGCCTCCATCTCTTTCTGCCATATAGTTAATGTTGATGTTGAAATTGAAATCAGATGAGGACGGTTGTAATGCTGTCTACCATACTCTAGATTTGGAAAGATGTATGATGAATGATCACCTTGAATAAGCTATTAGAGGGCATCAGTGAATCAACAACTATGGAGTCAGTCATATGGAGGTAAACAGCATCTGTGATGATGGAGTACAGGGTTTTGCCCCTTAGCCAGATTGAGTTTGCTAAATGACAGTCAGTAACACTCTCACTGCTCTGAATCACAAGATTCAAGGTTCATGATTGATAGCTGAGCAAAAATGAGGTGAGGGCTCCAGCATTAAACAGTGTGCTATGCAGTTGTTGGTGTTATCTTTTGGATGGGGTTTTTAAATCTGGTTGTCAGATGCATAAATCTAGAAGGTAAAATGTATTTTAAAATCTAAAAATGGACTTTGTCAGAATAAAACATGGTCACTATCAATTGTATTTAATTTGACTGATTCTGGGAAGTTCCAAGTAGTAATTACAAGGATAGAGGTCAGAAACCATCACCCTCCTGGAATCACTCAATTTGCAATGTTTGGTCATTACAGTCCATCTAAGGCTGAGCAGTATCTCCCCAACAGGGTCTGGTAAACAACTGGGAGCTATTGAAGCTCATTATACCTCAAGTGGTTGGGAGTTGATTAACTCAGTTGGCTGGGTGGCTGGCTTGTGATGCAGAATAATGGCAACAGCAATAGCGGTATCAGTTGAGGTTCCCCATGAAGGTCCTACCTTTTTAACTGTCCTCTGTCTGAGGTGTGGTGACCCTCTGATTAAACCATCACCAGTCATCTCTCTCCGAGCAGCCTTCTGGTCCTCTGGGTCTGTGGTGACTTTGCCTTTACCTAAAGTATTGCTAATTGTTCAACATGTATTTCATTCAATGATCAATGGCTTTTAACAAGTGGCACAAAAATAGTCATTTTAACCAAATTCATCCTTAATTAGCCATCAGATACAAAAATCCCTGATCTTTGAAAGAGGTTTCATTTACACGTTCTGAACCTTGCTGCATTCTAGTAAAATATAGTCTACGGTTAAGATCACTACCTATAAGACACTTTTTTTCCTCCTAGAAAACCAGACTCCAGGCTGAGCTAAGTCCACCTCTGGACTAAAGCCTCCTTGAAGCTTATTCTCTGGAAGATTCCAGATATCCACAAGCATGGAGCAAATTGTGTACACTAGCTTCATCTAGTTATCTGTAATAAATGCTAAAAGAAATTCTGCCACTTCAGCCAACTGCACCCACCTAAGTTTGAAGTCCTACAAGAGAGAAGCTTTCACTGAACACCTGAAATAAGTAACATACTGTGGATGCTGAGGAATCTGAAGAGAGGAACAGTTCAGGTTTTTAAACCTGATTTAACTCTTCAGGGATTGTTAACTGTTTTTCTCTCCAAAGGTGCTGACAAACCTGAGTTCTTCCAAAGCTTTTGTTACACTTCACTAGAAGTTGATGGTTTGGATTCAGGCAATAATCATATGAATTGCTGTCTATATCGTTTTAAGTTATCCTTAATTGTGAGTTTTCCTCTTGTGTGCATATGTTAATCATCCTAAGGTTTGAAAACAAATAAACCATTTTTTAAAACCCTGAAGAGTTTGTTGCAGGTCATTTAAAAATTGCACTTCACAAACAGGATTTTGGGGGAATACAGTATATTTCAAAAACTTGACACTTCAAAGGTATTTCATTTGGTGGGATGATTTTGAGGTCTACTGCTTGTAGAAGGTGCTAGAAAAATGTAAATCTTTCTTGGAGGGGCAAAATGTAAGTTAACTTGAGTTTTCCATTTTTCTTTGCAATGCAGGTGACCTCTGCTACCTAATGCACAATAAAGACAAAAATGAGCTTCTGGATACAGCTTGGGCTCCTCCTTTGGAAGAATTTCACCTATCGGAAAAGGCAAATTGTGAGTTAGAGATCTGTTAAGCTGATATGATCCTGGTCTTTAATAGTTTCTGCTCTCTTCGGTGCTTCCTGTTTGTAGTCTTGGTGGTTTTTGCAGAGTAGCTCTTAAAGTGGCAATGTCTGACCTGAGAAAGTTATTGCAAAATGCAATTCCTTCCTAAACTCAGTCTCCTGAAGTCTCACTACACGTTCAAGGGAATTACTTAAGTCTAGTCGGTTCTAGTATTTGGGTCTTGACAGGCTACTTGGTGGAGGGTATAGGACCATAACCAAGTGTAGTTCTGTTTTTAAACCCCTAGTTGTCTGTCACTTGAATGAGACTTTTGTTGAACTTTGTTTCCTTTTTTCCATAGCACAGCGGCAGTAACACCAGTTGTGACCCTGAACCATGATTGAAATTTGCTAAGTTGGAGATCAATGAGTTTGGAAACTCCCTTACAAGTATATTTCCTCTGGGACATTAGTGTAGAAATAATTAGCATATAATTTGTACAGATGGTAGCAGTGTGATATTTTGTTGTAATACTTCCAAATATTAGCATGAAAATCATTGCACCCTGTACGCGTCCCTGCAATTTAGGCTTCCACTCCTCCTGGTTTGTAGGATTCTAAGATAAGAGTCCAGCATGTGATCTGCAAACTCTTCCACATTAGGCAGCAGGTGATGAAAGGTTGGGTAGATGAGTTGGTTGAAGGTTTGTTCTTTGCAACTTCAGTGCTACATGTTAAGTCTCTTGATGTGTGGTATCTTCCCAAATGAACCTTCATTTTAGTAAGTCATAATCCAGTGTCTCCCGGCAGGGGGGGAGGGAAATGTCCTGAGACAGATGTTTTAGGGACGTCCCTAAAACAATGAGTAAGTCAAACATCCTCCTGTGCTGCTTTTTGCATACCCACAGCATGAAACAGCTAGCTTAACCTATTCAAAAATGTGAAATTCCTTTTCAGGATCAATAGGGCCTTATGGCCTTTCATGAGTTTGCACGATGTGCAGTGAGAAATGATTCAACCTGTGCTCAAATTCACATTTCAAATGGAATAGCCAATTTAACCCCCCAACCCTTTCCTTGCTGTCTCAGTTGGAAAATGGTGGTTTTGTCTACCACAGACCTATCTTGACTGGTCACTACAATCCTTTGGATTCTCACACTTGCACATGCTCTAAGATTAGCTTTATTGGCAACCTCATAACATTCAAGTCATTTATTCATGCTAGCTTGACACTGAAATAGGACATATCAAAGCCAGTCTGCAGGATAATGGCTATCCTGATGTAGCGAGAAATGTTCTATCTTGCAAACCCATGAAAGACCCTAAAGCAGACCTGCTTAGTCCTGAAGAGTCTACCTGGTAAACAAAGAAAACTAAGGTTCTCAAAGATTTGAGCAACAGGTGAAGCTAGATGTTTCATGCAGCCGCTATCCAGTAGGAGGGGAGGCAATGGCCTAGTGGTGGTATTACTAGAATATTAATCCAGAGTAATGTCCATAATGTCCTGGGGACCTGTATTTGAATTCCATTTTTAAAACAAAATCTGGAATTGAATTTAATGACCACTTAATCCACTATTTGTTCAATAAACCAGAGTTTCCTTCCCTAAAGGGCGTGGAAAAACCTGCCATCCTTACCTGGTCTGGCCTACGTGTGACTCTAGACTGACATCAATGTGGTTGACTCTTAACTACCCTCTGGGCAATTAGGAATGGGTAATAAATGCTGACCTAGCCAGCAATTCCCTCATCCCATGAGTGAATAAAAACAAAAGTTGTTCCCCTCTGACAGGATGACATTGTCACATCAAAAACATGTCCTGCCTATCTCATGACTCCTATGATATAAAAATTTCAGTGCTGGAGTGATGCCAAGTATTGTAACCATTGGTTCCAAAGATAGTATTAATTAGCGTATCCATTAGCTGTTTGGGTATCCAGTCATTGGCTTGCTTGTAATCAACCTGTGCTCTCAAAACTCAAGTGGCTAAAAATAGATGTGATTCTGAAATTGTGTGTCATTTGCTGGATAATTCTGAAGAATTACACTGAACCAACTTAAGGCTGTCAGTTGGTCCCTCGTATCTCATTGGCATGTATGGGGAGGCTACACCTAATACACAGGGCCTTGTTCTTTACAGACAGCAAAATAAGTGACAGCTAATGTCTGATTCATTGTTCAGTGCTCGCATTGGGAAATTAGTCAACCTGCCTGCTTTGAAATATAGAAGTCGGTAGTTAATAGTCAATCATTAACTGCTGAATTTGCCGTGACAATGTCTCTACTAATCTGTCCATTTGCTAAGAAATCAACTCTCTTGTATCATAAATGTTGGTTTGCCCTGTCACAATTTGACAATTAGAGTACCAATTATCATTGAGTGCCAGATGAAAAGATTCAACTTTTTTTGCAACAATACTTACTTTTATTATAGAATCTCTGAAATCATTTCTTGAGCTTTTTAAGCTGCTTCTGCTCGAAGTTGAGTGTTAAGTGCTAGGTAGTGGAACTATTCCCATTTCAAGAAGCTAGGTATCTACCTCCCAGTTCTGACATTAGGTATAGCAAAGTCACATCAGTATAAAACAAGGTGCCTTAGCTCCAACCTTGAATGAGCACAACTATGATGTCTTAATTTAACTTTCCACATCAGCAATTCTTGGTCCCTTTGAGTGCGATTGGCAATATTGTCCTGCAGATCTATGTTCAAACACCTTTTTAAATTATATTGAGGCTAAGTTACAATCCCAACCCAAAGGGTTTAGGGCTAGATTTTAACCCTTCCCTCCCCAGGTGTGGCTAGAGGTTGGCAGACATGAAATTTCACATTGGTCTGTGCAGTTTGTCTCTCCACACTGGCCTGTGTCATTTCCCTGCAGGTGGGCTAGGCAGTTATACCTGCTTGCATCTACCAAGGAGGCAATTAACCAGAGCCACTCCAAGGCCTGTTCTTAAAGGCTGGCTGATATTTTTCACTTGGCTCCTGGTCCCCATTGGCAACAGGAAATATTACATGTAGTTTACCTGGGGTTCAGTATTCCAGGTAGGATTTTAGGACCCTTGAGCTCAGCAGTAGCCATAGCTCCGTCTAGTGAGAATTCCCATCTCCACTCCGGAAAGCCTCTAGTTAAAATTCCAAAAAGTTGGAGTGATACATCCATTTTTTGGGGTGCTCCCTATCTTGAACCTTACTGCATTCTGCTCCTCCTTTTTTCAAACTAGTGGCTCTGCTAATCACCATCCACCTTTGTGGGCCTGGCTGCTATCCTACACTCTGGTCATGAGGAGACTGCAGCACATTGGGCAGCATTCCTACCTGAGCCAGAGTTTCATTGTGCACTCCAGGCCTTGTTGCTCATGGTAGGGTCGTTAATGTAATTGTTTGGGTTCATAATGGGCACTTGAATCCTTTCACCTCCTTCCACTACTCTCAAAGGGGAAAAGGTTTTCTTGAGGGATCCTAGGCTGAAAAAAAGCTATAAAATTGCTTCATGCCCAAAGAACAATTGTGGGGGAAATCACATGAAGGAATAGTTTCTCTTGTAACAGTCTTCTGATTCCCAGTTGAACCTGATGACCAGATCATGAAGCCTGCAGGTAAATCCTCTCTAAGCACCATTGTACCATACTTAAGATTTATTGAGCAACACATACCCTGTTGATATTATGATCTCGAGTTTTTGTGTACAAAATTCAGCATGTGAAGAAATAATTTAAATTTTAAAATGTCGCTGATTTGAAATTTCAAACTTGGGTATGAAGGCCATTTCAAGCAAAAGGCATCATGAAAAACTCAGTTGATCATTATTTATGGCCATACCCTTTTGCTTCCTGCTGGGGATCAATGGTTATAACCAAGTATTAGGATCTTGTTTGAAAATCGGCATCCTTCCTGACTCAAGGTAATTGTGTAACATGGTAGTGCCTCTTGCTAATACACCAGTTCTGATAAGCTATCCATATTGTGGCCAGTACAGTTCAGACCTAATAAGCGCAGATTCTCACTTTCATAATTGGCTGCTGTGCCCGTGCGCACAAATTGTGATAGCACTGTGGCCTCCGCTTAATATGAAACAAATCTCTAATTTTTAGTTTAAGATATCACAGAAGATGCTGAGTAGAATTTTATCTTCCCCAGTGTTCTGTATTCTTTTCAGGATTGATCAGACAGTAGCTGATAACAGTCTAATAACAAGGTGGCTTTCACCTGTTCTTGACCTGCTTGAGATAAGTGTCAATGCCAGGAGCCATTTCTTGACAATGTTGGCCAGCTAGTCATCCATGTGGGCATCAAAGTTGAGCCTGATTTATTATATGCAATATCTGTAATTTTTAAGTGTTGTCACTTGGTGACCAAGAACAGGAACCCTATCTCCCCTTCCACCTCCATATTGATTTAACCCTCTACCTCTCTCCCTCACCTTTCGTCGTACAACATTGCGCTTAATGGGCTCTGCATGTAAATTGAACGCTTGGAAACACCAGTCACTTACTGGTAGTAGTTAATAGATGGAAAATACCATGGATGATTTGCTGATGGGAAAAGCTGTTCAGTTGTGTGATAGCACCTCTGCATGTAAAAAGAAAAGGACAAGGAAACCATGGCTCAAAGTCCTGTTTAGCCTTTCTGTACTCTTAGTCTTAGACCAACTGTATTTCTCCAATTACAAAATCACATGAATTTTTATTTCTGTTGTACAAGGGAAAATATGCCTAAAGGTTTTGATTAGTCCATCGTTCTAGAACAAATGAAGTCCTAGAGTTGGGCTTGACACCACTCTTCTGATTGAGATTAGACTGCTAATAACTGTTGGATGTCAATTAACTTAATGTTGGATTGAATTAAGGCTAACCTGTTAACAGTTGTTGATTTTAAAATATTGTTGGCCTCCTCTTTCAATTCATCTACACTTTTCAATTTTGGTTTTATTTCTGTTTTAATATTCTCTAACTTCCCATTCTCAGGTGTGATATTAATTTTCCAAAATAGTCATACTTTCTGTCTGCAGTAACATCTGTCCACAGTTTACAAGTCACAAATTGGACATGTCTTTCCTTGAAGAGTGCAGCTTCAGTATTTGAAGTGCAAGACCATCTTTGTGTTATCCAACCTACCACCTTTTCCATACCCTCTACCAGCAGCACGCAGCAACAGCAATATGTGCCATCCATGAAAAGATAACAGCAATTCACATCCATAAAACTGTCCAAACCTGCAACTGAACTGCCCAGTATAAAAAGGGCAGCAGGCATTTGGGAACTTGTGGATGGCAATATTACCCTCTAAATCACCCACTGTCTGGTCTTGGAAAAGTACTGTTTTTTTTTCCTTTATTGTGACTGCATCAAAATCCCTACCTACCAGCACAGTTGGTAATCCCTCCACCACAAGGACTACACTGGTCCAAGATGGTAGCACACTAACAAATTGCACAATTCAGATGGGTAGAAATCACTGTCTTGCCTGCAATGCTCAAATCTCATGAACACTAACTCCAAGCAGCTCTCAGCTGAAATGCATCCTTTTAGTGCCGTAATTTCCAATCATTGAGAGACTCAAGTTTGTTACCTGACCAGTTTAAAATTGCAGACTGATTTAAATGTTTTCCCAGATCTGGATGATTGCTCGTTTGTGTTGACACTGAAGGCAGAGACCCATAAGGCATTGGGATAAAAATGGAATTTTTGGTTTTTTCAAAAGTAATCCTGCACAACTTTTTGCAGTACGTAGAATTTTGCAACACAAGTGGTCCTTTTGACCCAACTGCTGTAAACTGGTTTTAGATGTTTTCTAATAAACCTGTTACAACACCTCAGGAGCAGGTGGAACTTGAACTCAGGCCTCCTGGCTCAGAGGGCACTACCACTGCACCTGTCTGCTGGCTTTATGCTGTATATGAGCTTTCTTGCCACTTTTTGTTTGATCACCATATCCTCATTTTACTTGGATACATTTGTTATTTATGTCTGCTACACAAAATTTCCCACAATCTCGGAAGATGTTCCCCCAACTTTTTATTGGAAATTAATCATGATTTTTTTCTTGTGTTCCTGGGCTAATACAGGTTACGAAAGGAGGAAATGGAAGAAAATGAACTAGGAAGATGTCCTGTAAAGAATGAGGATAGTGTCTTTTAAGCCTGGGGAAGAAAGGTGCAAAATTAGGAGGATTTTGGGATGATAATCCAAGAAGATTTTACAGTGGATAAAGCAGCAATGATTCATTGCTGGTACATTTATACAGACACTAGGGATGTAGTTTGATGCATCAGCTGTGGCTCAATGGTAACACATTTGCTTTATGGTTGGAAATTAATGTATTGTAGAGACTGAAACATTAGTCTAGCTGACTCCCCAGTGCTGAGTGCCATGCTATTGGAAATTTTGTCATTTGAGTTGATAAAACCAAGGCCCTGTTTACTTTCTTAGGATGTAGAAGATCCCATGTGCACTACAGGCATTGTACTTCATCTGGCCATGGAAAACTAGAAACTTCTGTTATCTATCTTCTTTTAGATCCAAAAAGGTCACCTGGACAATCTTTCATTAGGTGCTGTGCAGTGTGGCTCAGACAAGTTATTGGCTTTACTGCTGCTCTATCCTGTCCTCCTGGATCTCATCCAGACTGCTCTCAGCTCAAACCACCCAACCTGAAATCTGGAAATAGCTGATATCTGGTGTGGCCCTGAGTGTGCAGGGTTTGAAGTACTGCACTTGAATTTTCGAGATCAGGGGAGATCTCCCTTTATCCTGACCAATATTAACCACTCCTTCAAGATTTCTTAGGCAGGTCGTATCATTTTCTTGTTATTTAACATCCCTAGCAATTTGACTCCTGCATTTCTGCATTACAGCAGTGACTAAATTCCAAAAATATTTGATTCTAGACTAGTTTGGATCACTTGCCACACCCTGATGTTATGAAAGGCATGATACAAACATCTTTCTGTCTTAAAATGAAGATACTACTTTGTCACTCTCCCTGTGTGACTTTCCTTGTTTTCATATGAAATGTATAAGAAGTCATCCTTATTTACAGCCAAAAGGGGGTATGGTGGCACAGTAGTTAGCACTAGCCTCACAGCACCAGGGACCCAGGTTCGATTCCGCTGTCGGGCAACTGTCTGTGTGGAGTTTGCACATTCTCCCCGTGTCTGCAGGGGTTTCCTTCGGGTGCTCCAGTCTCCTCCCACAGTCCAAAGATGTGCAGTCTAGGTGGTTTGGCCATGCTAAATTGCCCGTAGTGTCTAGGGATGTGTAGATTAGGTGGGTTATATGGGATGGGTCTGGGTGGGATGCTCTGAGGGTCGGTGTGGACTTGTTGGGCCGAAGGGCCTGTTTCCACACTGTAGGGATTCTATGAAAAGACATTGCTAGCCTGAAATGCTTAAGAATTGGGTTTTATCTCATCTGATTTTACCACAAAGTTAAACTGAATGGACTGTCTTGGTATATTGTAAAGGATTCTGATACAGAAAGCTCTCTGCAATGCGTGTTTCAACATGCATTAATACTACTAAATTTCTGTGGCATTTGTTTTTCCAGGTTCAGCTGGTTATTGAGATTCTGTGGCCTCTTTTCCTCTTCTTTATATTAGTCTCAGTGCGTCAGTCCCATCCATCATTTGAGCAGAATGAATGTAAGTGATACAGCAGTTGATGTATGAATACTGTTTAGTTATCTCTTTCTCTCCAGTCTCTGCCTGTCACCTCAGGGGTGGGTATCAGTACCCAATTACTGCCACTTGGTTATTAATGTAGAGAATTCTATATTTCCCAAATTGTACTCAATCCCAAGAATAACAGGAAAACAATTCCAAAAACTCCAATTATTCCTGATAATCTGAGTTCCATTGACAGGCAGGTTCCACAAATGCTTAGTTCCCTGGCCTTGTACTTAGCCATTCTTAAAGTGTGAACTTTGGAATTGATTGTCAGAAGGATAGTTAACCTTGCATAGTGTAAATGGGATTGGGGAATTATTTTCTGTAGTCAGCTGAGAAAGTGATTTGAGCTTTCTACAATGCTTCTCCCTGGACTCAGCTCAATGTCTGAACCTTCCCTTCTGGGAGATGTTTTTAAAACTTCTCTACATCAAGCTGCAAGAAGCTACGAACACCTTGTTTATGCCACCATGCCATCACCATCACTTTTTGACACTGAACTCAACACTAATCTGCTGTCTCAAATTCCAGCAGGGAGCCAATCTGAAACTGACGTTTTCTTTTAAAAATCTAATTCAAAACAAACATCCATACCTTGCCTGGAGGAGAATTTACCTCATGAAGCATCAGGGTAATAAAAATACTTAGCACAATCACCTTGTGGCTTGATGTGAAATTATGATACTTGTGCACATAGTGCAAAGTTTTTATTTGCTGGATGAATGTGTTGCTGGCTAGGCCAACATTTATTGCCCAGTGGGCAGTCAAGGACCAACTGTATTGCGCGTCTGGAGTCCCATTTAGGTCACACGATATTAGAAGGCAATCTGCTGTTCTTGTGAACTTGATGGGTTTTTATGACTGTTAATGATTATATGGTTGCTGTTAGACCAGATTTTTTGTTCTAGAAATTTAATTTCACTATGGTGGGAGTTGAAGCCATGAACCCCAGGATAATGTTCTGGGATTCTGGATTACTAGCCCAGTGACATTATCACTGTCTCATCCCCTGATACTGTGTAGTGGCACGTGGAAGCTTGTCTAATATGATTTCATATGGGTGCTTGCATCACATAGTTCAGTTCCTAGCATAGGTTGCTATGACATCGATGGTGCATGGTTTCGGGAAGTGAAACCAGTGTGAGCAGACTGTCACAATGTAACAGTGTGGAAGTATATTGTCTAATAAATTGGGACTTGAGCCATGAGAAGTTAATCCAAACATAAGGGTTTTACCAACATTGGAGTGACTGGCAGAAAACCAGTACTTGGGGGTAAATATCACACTAGCTGATTGCACATAATGGATATACTTAGAAATGAAAGATGCCTGTGAACCAGGTATTGGGACTCTTTCTCTTGCTGTTCATGACAGTCTATTGCAGTAAAAGACAATCTCTGCTTTTTTCTTGTAATTCATTTGTCATCACTCCACTCCAAATTTGAAATAATTTATTTTGGGCATTAGCTCTATACTTGCCCTGAGCTGCCTTGCCTGCTGTTTTAACTGCTGTTTAAACCAGCTTTCTGCGGTTCAGCTGAAGCTTTTGAGTACGTAAGAATAATTTCCCCCCACGATCATTTTGATCGGAGACGCCATGGTGATGGAAATAATAATAAACTTTCAATAAATCTTTTTAAAAGCAGAAAGAAATATGTTCTATTTTGCTTCAGTCAGATAATTGGTGGTTTTCTATTTTTGCTTGTTCAATGTCAAAATATGTACACTGACAACCTGTTCCCAGGCTAGTATTTACTGTTCGGTCACTTTGATACGTAGAAAAGAATGGCCTGGAGTGATCAGTGTTATTTTGGAAAAAAATGCTGCAAAAACTCAGGTCTGGCAGCATCTGGAAGGGGAGGGGAGAGACAAAACAGTTAACATTGACTAATGACTCTTTGGACTTTAAATGTTTACTCTGCTTCACTCTTCAGATGCTGCCAGACCTGCTGAGTTTCTCCAGTATTTGTTTTGCTTTCAGATTTCCAGAATCTATAGTACTTTGCTTTTATTTAAGATATGTTTTTGAACTTGGGAGTAGCAAAATGGAAACTGCTGTAATTGCATAGAAAGGGCTAATGTTCCAGTTTTATTTTATGTAATATATATGATTTACATAGACAGCAAACACACTTTTATTTTTATACTCCTCTCCACTGGCTGACTTCTCATTGAGACTTACATTCTTCATGCAAATTCATGATTAGATGAAATGTTCTAGTCACCACATTGAAATTTGAGTTTATTTCTGCTTTCCACTCAAAATAACTTGGTCTCTTAGAATAAAAACTCTAGACTTTGAGGCTAGGTGGGAGAAGGTTTAAGTTTGACTTTAATTTTTCGCTTTTGCTAACATTTTTTTTATTTTTGCAGGTCACTTTCCAAACCATGCATTACCATCAGCAGGGACGCTGCCATGGATACAGGGAATCATCTGTAATATTAAAAATCCTTGCTTCCAGCATGCTACCCCAGGAGAAACGCCAGGAAATGTGGGGAATTTCAATCAATCCATGTAAGTACTATTGGCACATCTTTAGGTAAGAGCATCTGTATCCAAACAAATGCTGAAGTAACTTAACTGGAACAATAGAATACGAGCCAGATGTAGTTGTGATCAATGGTTGATTCCAGACCAAACTGAGCAGTCTGTGAATTGGCTAGGGACCAGTAGCATTTCTTAAAAATAGATTTTTATTATTGAGATGTAGGCATTACTGTCTAGGCCAACATTTAATGTTCATCCTTAATTGCTTAGAGGGCAATTAAGAATCAACTACGTTACTAAGGGGTCAGGAGTTGCATATAGGCCAGACTGGATAAGGTTGGCACATTGCCTTCATAGAATCCCTACAGTGTGGAAACAGGCCCTTCAGCCCAACAAGTCCACATCAACCCTCCAAAGGCCACCCCACCCAGACCCATTTCCCTCCTCCCTTAACCTGGCATTTCCCATAGCTAACACCCCTAATCTACACATCCCAGGACCCTATGGCCAATTTAGCATGGCCAGTCCACCTAGCCTGCACATCTTTGGACTGTGGGAGGAAACCAGAACACCCAGCAGAAACCCCCACACACTGAACGTGCAACTTCCACACATGGTTGCCTGAGGGTGGAAGCAATTCAGGTCCTTGGGTGCTGTGAGGCACCAGTTCTAACCACTGAACCACTGTGCCACATTCCTTAAAGAATGTTAGTGAACTAATGGGTGTTATGATAATCAACAGCAGTTACATGGTCCTCATCGGGTGAGCTTTGAATTTCCGTTGCAGTCTACAAATTCAAAATGTCCCTGGCACATTAGTCTGGGTACTCGATTCATTGTCTAATGATATTGCTATTACTCCAATGCCTTCTCCTAAATACTTTTTAAGATAATAAAGGGTTAAATCTCCTTGCCATATCTGTACATCAATTGGCATTGGGGTGGGTGGAACCCCACTAACACTGATTAATGAGGGATGACCATTTAAAAGGTGGTAGCCTTCCCTCATAGCAAAGGATGTCAATCATTTTGTGATCTATTCTTGTGTAGAAGGAACATGAGTAATGGCTGACATTTATTTTTTTTTCTTGTTTGCAGTCTTTCACGTTTGCTGTCTGATGCTCAGAAGGTGCTACTTCAAGCTAATCAGGACCACATTCTACAAAGCTTCAATCAACTTCTCAGAGCATTGAAAAAGCTCAATGAAGACAGCCTTCCATTGTCTGGTATGAGTGTTTTATTGGCTAAATTGAGGTGATGCAGCAACTATTAAGTTTCTCCAATATCCTTATCTTCCTTATTAAAAACTGTTTATTTGTCATTTCCAGTATTGCTTCCTTCCCTAGCCATGTCTCCTTCCAGATAAACTATCTGTTATCATTAGTTGTAGTATTTTGCACTTGTAGTGTTTTGTCTTTTCTAGTAAAAGTAACCTGTGGCTGAATTATAAACTTGCAATTAATCAGGCCAAAAATTGGAAAATGCAGTGGGTAATTGCTTTGGGTAGACTTTGGCCAGTGAGGAAGTTCTTGGGTTATGTCTCAGTCAATATGTCATACCTCTTTTTTTTTTTTTTTAGACTTATTTGAGATTGATCAATGTAACCTAAGGTATAATGATCACACTCCATCTTATCCAGGGATAACTTGAAGCATAGCACTCTGTTGAAAGCATACTTCTGTTGTAACTGAAACTAATTCTTCTTAATACTGAAATGCTTGTGAATGTGATATCTATATATAATTGCTAGCTGTAATAAGCATCTGGATTCTTCAAGCTCATGCTATCCAAGTCTAATTTCTTATAGCAATACTTACTTTATCCCTTGTAACTTATCAGGTTAAAATACTGTGCCAGAGGCAAAGTTGATATCCTGGTTAGCAGCAATGACCACCTATAAAAAGTTTTAGGCAGATATTTGGAAAACTAATTGAAGATGCCTTGGCAGCATTGAGTATAGACAGCTGCACAGATCCGAGGATAAGGTATGGACCAGCCAAAAGATGAAGCAATTCATGTTTGAAAATCTGTTGTTAAGTAGGACAGCATTTACTAAAAAACAAAATCAGCACAGGGTAGTGCTACCATATTATCTCAATGCATCCTGAAAGATGTGAACCTAGCAAGTGGTGCTCATGGAAGAGCCAGTTGTCTAACCATCCTGAGACCCAGGATGTTTGTCTTTGCCCGGCAGGGTTGGTGGTGGGGGCGGGGTTTGAAATGGAAGATGTACAGCAAGTGAACAGATCAAGAACGATCAAAACTACGAACTGGGTAGAGTGAGTTTAAAAATCCCAATAGCAATACAAACTTCTAACATGTGCAGCCAGCCCAGATCATCCAAAGTCACAATGATCGTGGTGTCATACTGGATTGAGCTAGTTTCTGTTCCTTTGCAATGTACAGTACACGACTGTGCTGCCAGTGAGGAAGAACACTGCTGCACAAGAGAATGTAAAGTGAAAGCAACCAAAAATCAACAAATCAAAAGGAGTTGCAAGACTTGCAAAGTGTTCCTTTTGAACTATTAGTCTTTTGGTTTTAAAGTAGTTATGGAAAAGGATAGGCCTTGTACAAAAGTTCTTAATTGGAGTAAGGGAAATTTTGACTGTATTAGACAGGAACTTTCAAAAGCTGATTGGAGTAGACTGTTCAGAGATGGCTTGCAAAAGTGAGCTGACAAGAGGCCAGGCATTGTGTTCCTGTTCGTGAAGGGTAAGGTTGGAAAAAGTAAGAACAATGGATGAATAAAGATACTAAGGCTCTACTTTGGAATAAAGAGCCATTAGGTATAGATCACTAGGATCAAGTGAATCTCTACGAGTATAAGGGGTGACGAGGCATTCTTAAGAGGGAGATCAGAAGGGCAAAAAGGGGATGAGATGACCTTGGCAGATAAGGTTAAGGATAATACAAAGATTCTAAAAGTACATAAAAAGCAAAAGAGAAGCTAAAGAATCAACGAGGTCATCAGTGTGGAGCCATAGGAGATGGGAGAGATGATAGATGAATATTTTGCATCAGTTTTCACTGGACAAAATGGAGGCTAGGGAACTCTGAAGTAAATATTAATGCCTTGAAAACAGTACACGTTACAGGAGGTAGTGCTGGAGGTCTAAAAGGTGGATAAATCTCTGACCTGATCAAATGTATCCCATGACATTGCAGGTCCCCTAGCAGAAATATTTCTATCACCTACTGCATGGGTGAGGTGCTGGAGGACTAGAGTGGCTAATGTTGTGCCTTTATTTAAGGTTGTAAGGAGAAGCCTGGGAACAATAGACTGAGTCTGACATCAGTGTTGGGTAAGTTGTTGGAGTGGATTGAAAGGATTTGCGTGCATTTGGAGAGGCAAAGACTAATTAGGGATAGTCAACATGGCTGTGTGGGAAATCATGTCTCTCAACTTGAATCTTTTGAGGATGTAACAAAAAATTGAGGGCAGAGTGGTAATGTTGTCTGTGTGGACCTTAGTAAAGCCTTTGACAAGGTTTCACATGGTAGACTAATTAGTAAAGATAGATCACGTGGAATTCAGGGAGAGCTGGCCAATTGGATACAAAATTAACTTGATAGGAGACAGGGTGGTGGAGGGTTGTCTTTTGGACTGGAGGCCTTTGACCAGTGGTGTTCTGCAGGGATTGGTGCTGGGTCCACTTCTGTTTGCCGTTGATATAAATAGATTTCAATGAGAATTTAGGAGACCTAGTTCACAAGTCTGCAGATGGGACCAAAATTGATGGTATAGTGGACAGTGAAGAAGATGATCTAAGATTACAAAGAGATCCTGATCAATTGGGCCCATGGGCTGAGGTGTGGCAGATGGAGTTGAATTTGGATCAATGAGTTATTGTATTTTGATAAAACAAACAAGGGCAGAACTTATACAATTAATAGTAAGGCCATGGGTAATGTCAAACAGAGACCTAGGGGCTCTGTACATTAGTTCTTTTGAAGGTTGACACAGGGTGATTAAGAACATGTTTAGCATGTTTGCCTTCATTGCTCACTCCATTGAATGTAGCAGGTTTGAGAGGTGACCTTAGGTTCATAAAATCATGAAGGACATAAATAAGGTGATTAGCAAAGGTCTTTTCTCTAGCATGGGTGAGGTCAAAACTAGGAGCATATTTTAAAGTGAGAGGAGAAAGATTTAAAAGGGATAGTATGGGCAACCCTTTCACATTCAGGATTGATCTTGTCATGTGCACTGAAATAGTGAAAACTTAGTTTACAGGTGGTACAGGCAGATCACAGCAAGCAAAGGATGTACAGATCAAAAAGACTTTGCGGCATACAGGTTACATTATTTGAAGCTAGAGTCCATTCAACAGTAACGGCCAGAAAGAAGCTGTTCCTGAATCTGCTTTTGCGTGTTCAGGCTTCTATATGTTCTGCCTGATGGAAGAGGTTGGAGGAGGTCATTACCAGGGTGCAATGGGTCTTTGATGTTGGCTGCCTTTTCACGGCAGCGGGCTGTGTAAATAGTCCATGGATGAAAGGTTGGCTTCTGTGATGGTCTGGGCTGTGCACTCCACCTTCTGTAGTTTCTTGTGGTCCTGGGCAGAGCAGTTGCCATATCAGGCCGTTATGCACCCAGACAGTATGCTTTCAATGGTACATCTGTAGGAGGTAGTGAGGGACCTTATGCACATTTCAAATTTCCTGAGTCACCTGAAGAGGCATTGTTGTGTCACCTTTACTGTCGCATTGACTTGGGAAGTCCAGGACAGGTCATCAGTTATTGTTCCTCCAAGGAATTTGATGCTCTTCACTCTCCATCTCAGTTCCATTGTAGATGGTGTGTTCTCGTCCTTTCTCTCTGAAATCTATCAGTTCTTTAGATTTGCTGATGTTTAGAGATTTGTTTTCATTGCACCACTTCAAGCCCTCTAGCTCCCTTCTGTATTTTGACTCGTTAGATATCCATCCCACTACAGTGGTGTCGTCAGCAAACCTGTAGACAGTGCTTGTTTGGAATTTGAATGAACTAGGAAATTGCTATTATGGAATGAACTGAGGAAGTGGTGGATGTAGGCACAGTTACAACACTTAAAAGACATTTGGACAGGTGCATGAATAGGAAAGGTTTAGAGGGATGTGGGCCAAACATGGGCAAGTGAGACCAAGTTATTTTTGGAAACTTGGTCAGCATGAGCGAGTAGGACCAAAGGATCTGTTTCCATGCTGTTTCGCTCAATTGTTTTACCTATTTGTATAATTGTGGAACATGTGGCTATGTCCAACCATGTGTATGTTTGGAATATGTTGTTTATCTCTGAAAAACAGGATGGGGTGTCTCTCAGTTGGTATGCTGTTAAGGGACTTGCTCAAGACATTGCGCACCACACATGACTTGAGGGTGTCAGGATCTCTCGTCCATCTTAACTGAGGATTGCTTACAGTATGAGCATGCTTCTCTGTTGCTACTTTAAGCTATCCATTCCTTTTGAATGTAATGTCTGTATATAATAGCCATAATAAATATCTGGATTTTTAATATTGCAGTACCTACACCTAATTTCTTAAGGGATAACCCAGGATGAAATAATGTTCATATCTTGAAATTCAGATTGGATCACTTGGAATTGAGGATCCATAACAGATCCTAGAGTTTGCTCACTCAATCCAGTTGCCTCATTTGAAAATCTCCAAGAGCGATGTTACTGTCCAAGATATTTTAAGATAGTGATGTATGTCAGTCTGAGCTGAGACATACTGTACCACCTGTTCTCATCTTTCATTCTTTGCACAGTTTAAGTTGTAGCACATGTACTTGCATTTGTGTACTGTCGTATTGTCAAAACACTCAATACTTCATAAAGGAAGTGCAGTCTCAGGATAAGAGAATGATTGCTCAGAACTGAGTTCAGAAATTTCTTTGCTCAAATCTAAATAAAGCAGTGTTTTCCTGGGCTGTGGTATTTCATTGTATCACTTAGTTTACTCTGCATTTGAACCAAATAAGTAAACCAAGAAACCAGGAAAATTCTGCTGCTGCTCTTCATATAGTGGCATGGGATATCTTGCTTTTGCTTGATAAGGCCGATTGGGCCAAGATTAAACAGCTCATTGGTAAGATGACATCGTCTGGTAGTACAGTAGTGCAGAAATAGACTGTTAGCCTAGATTGTGATTTCCTTTCTAAACAGGCAGTTAAATTCACAACTTTCTGACTGTTAGGCATAATTGCTTCTAATGAGTCACAAGCTTCACAAAGGTTACC